CTAGCATGTAGATACCAAGATACAGGTGGTTCTCTTCAGAGGAGTCACCTTGGGAAGCTATACTTATTTAAATGTAGTTGACTTGGTACGTGCCGTTACTTCAGAGATGCCCATGATTTAGATACCCATTTGGGGTCTGAGTAATTTTTGGTTGTTTTCAAAAATTGCGTGATCTGTTCTCAGAGAATAAAGACTTGCTACCCTCGAAGATATACAGAAGTTTGAATTACGAGCAAATAGCCTTTGCTACGTTGCTTTGCCTTGTTCAAGGACCCTGCTCCTGCTGAATGCTGCTGTGACCATCAAAGCAATGCCATAGAAAAGCTAGAAGAGAGGAAGAGGAGAGGGACAATGTGGCGTGTACAGTCCATAGCTCTTCCCCCGCAGTGTCTAAGTAACGGTGGTCACTTGGCTCCATTTGATGCAGAGAACAAATTTAGACCTGAAAGTGGGAGATTAGCATAGTATATTCACAGAAAGGTGATTTTATTAAAGGAAACAATTTGATTTTTCCAAGGAATGTGTTTTAATGTATTTTACTTGATGAGAGAGAGTGAAATAGAGAGAGTTACAAGAGATGGAGAGAAAGCAAATGAGTCAAAATATTAATAATTGGGGGAATCCATGTGAAAAGTATATGAGTTATATTTTCAATTGTTGCTACTTTTCCATAGGTTTGAAAAGTTTTAAACTGAAAAGATGAGGAGAACTAACATCTGAAGAGGAGGAAAAATTAATTTTCATTTACCTTTTTGTGTTCTTGGCTGAGACACCCTGTATAACAGGAAAGATTAACGGGAGAAAAACAAATTTAATTATGTATGTATGTATGAATATCTTTGAGGAGCCCCTCAAAGATATAGGACACAAAGAAGTGACCAGAGTGGGCAGCTTTTATATCATTTAGACAAACAATGTTTGTGTAGGCTTGGCAAGGCAGAGGGGTTTACGCTTGGGGTAGCAAATGGTAAAAAATTAACTAGGCTTATGTATACAGACTTCTTGGTCCTAGATTCCCTATCTTTGGTGATAAAGATGTCTTCTATCCTCCTGGTACAAGGAGAGTAACTTTCACATGGGAGATTTATTTCCTGCTTTCAAGGGGACAGAGGAAAGTCAGAATGTCCTTCTTGCACTGGCTGTTTCTTAAGTATCTTTATTCAAAATAATCAATATGCCAGTGTAGCATATTTTAGGGTGACATTCTGAACCCCTTCACATAACCCTTGAACAATACCACAATTCCCTGAAGAATGATCCAGGAATGAGTGAGAATGATCAAGGGTCTGGCATCAAGGCAGATGTGGATCGGAACATACATGATTTTCACGTGATCATGGGTGGTTTCCTTTGGAATTCTTCCTGAGTGGGGAACTTCTATACTTGAACTATTTCTTACTGAAGACTACCCAGTGACAACCCCCAAAATACATTTTATGGACAGAATTTGTTACCCTAATGTAGATAAGTTGGGAGGAATCTGTTCAGATATTTTGGAAGACAAGTTGCCCCTAGCATCAGAGATCAGCAGAGCTCTGTTCCCCATCGAGATGCTTCAGCAAATGATGCAGGGGCATGGGAAGTAGTGGAAGACAAAGGAAGCTGAGATTATTGAAGCATGTAGGGCGTGGACTAGCTATACAATGAATAATATTTAATTTGGTCTGATCATCAAGTGTATATCTCTTCTCCTGTTTGGCTAATATGTCTTTTTTTGTTTTTATTGTTTCACTTAATGTCTTTGGAATGTTACAGAATAAAATCCAAGATCTCTTCAAGAAAATGACAGGGAAATAGCATATATCCTATTATCACTGAACTTTTAATTTCTGGGACTTTTGGTTCATGAACCTCTGCAAAGATGATATTAGGAGATATTAATTTGAACCAAAACTTAAGAGTGGCTACATCATCAGTCCCTGTGTCACATTAACTTTGAGCTGACAAGAAAATATTTTCCAACACAGTAAAGGAGTAATTCTTGGACTTTAATGTGCATAAATCACCCGGGGATCTTCTTAAAAACACAGATTCTGATTCAGTTGACCTGGAGAGGAACTTAAAATTGTGCATTTCTCTGGGGTACCTGGGTGGCTCAGTCAGTTAAGAGTCTGACTCTTGATTATAGCTCAGGTCATTAGCTCATCTCACAGTTTTTTAAATTTTTTTTTTCAACGTTTATTTATTTTTGGGACAGAGAGAGACAGAGCATGAACGGGGGAGGGGCAGAGAGAGAGGGAGACACAAAATCGGAAACAGGCTCCAGGCTCTGAGCCATCAGCCCAGAGCCCGATGTGGGGCTCGAACTCACGGACCGTGAGATCGTGACCTGGCTGAAGTCGGACGCTTAACCGACTGCGCCACCCAAGCACCCCTATCTCACAGTTTTTTAGATGTAGCCCTGTGTTGGGCTGTGCACTGACAGTGAGGAGCTTGCTTGGGATTCTCTCTCTTCTTCTCTCTCTGCCATACCCCCGCTGATGCTCTTTCTCAAAATAAATAAATACACTTTAAAAAATTCTGCATTTCTCATGAACTCCCAGGTGATGCTGATACTGCTGGGCACGGACCACATTTCAAATAGCAAGTAGAGGACAGAACAAGTCTTTGGAGTCAAAAAAGGTGGGGCACCTGGGTGGTTCAGTCAGTTGAGCGTGCGACTTCGGCTCAGGTCATGATCTCACAGTTCGTGGGTTCGAGCCCCGCATCAGGCTCTGTGCTGACCACTTGCTCAGAGCCTGGAGCCTGCTTCAGATTCTGTGTCCCTTTCTCTCTCTGCCCCTCCCCCGCTCACACTTGGTCTCACTCTGTTTCTCAAAAATAAATAACTGTAAAAAAAATTAAAAAAAAAAAGCCATTAATCTCTTTGGGTCTTGGTTTCCTCAAGTGTAAGATAGAGAAAATGCATACATGAAATTCTTGTGAAGTTGAAATAAAATAAGCATTTTGAAAGTACTTTGTAGAATGTGCTTTCTCTAATATTAATTTTTTTTTTACTAATGCCATATTGCTTTATAAATCCTTCCTCTGCAGAAAACTTAAAAACAAAGAAGGGATGGGAAGCCAGGTGAGGTAAATTATGCTGCATTGTTGCTATTCAAGGCTTTTGACACTAATGTGGAAACCATGAACAACATTCATTCCTATGGGCAATGTTGTTGAACCTATTAAGAATTCTAAAGAATTGATACCTTGATACCTTATTGAAAAGCTATTAATATTGATTAATAATTTTTTTTTCTGAAAAGAAGTTTCTTTTGGAAGTTTTGGATTTCCATTATATATCATCCTTCCTAAGACTGACTAGATGTCTCTTCTTTCCCATAACCAAGCACCAGCCAAAATAGCCAATGGATATTTAGTATTGGATTGGGGAAAATGGTCAAACAGTGAAGCCATAATCTTGTAATTGAAATTGTATTATTTTCAAATATAATCTTCAGGCACTGTGGAATGAGAGAACTCTAATTTTCAAAAAACAGAGAAAAAGCAATTGATTAGCTATTGAATGCCAATATGCTTTTCGGAAGACAGTTGAGTAAACAAACAGGCAGTACTAAGATTCTATCTCAATGAAAAACAAGCAAACAAACTGTTTCAGGACATAGAAATCCTTTTGGAAAATACAATTTTAACACTAAAGTTAAAATTCAAAGCTAAGAAGCTTCGTTTCCCAGAGATATTGTGAGGATTTCTTTCTTTCTTTCTTTCTTTCTTTCTTTCTTTCTTTCTTTCTTTCTTTCTTTCTTTCTTTCAATAACGGGAAATTCTCACGATGGAGAGAAGTGATAGCAGAACAGTAGAGGTGGTAGGATGGGAGGCTAAGCTATTTACCTTAGACTCCCACATTTGGCTAGACTCAACTTCCCAGAGAAAATAATTATTTTCCAGTATTTATTTATGAGAATAGAACTGAGATGCCATGCCAGTGTGAGTTTAAAAACAAAAAGGAGTTTCTTAAACTGTCTTTAACTGCCTACAATCTTGAGGGAAGGTGGTAGCAGTGATGGAGTTCTTTGGGGTGGGGTAGAAAAGAAGGTAAGATAGTCCACAGGAAAACCAAAGTCCCAGTTTACTTCAAAATTTAAAAATATTTATACCTTGCATAACTACGACTACACAAATCTAACATACACTTGAGATTAAGTTATTAATTGATGCTTTTACAATCTCATTGTATAACGAAAAATTCAGCTCTAGGTATGTTGTTATTCTTTTTCCCTTTTCATGTTGTTTATTATCAATGTACTCTATGATCCTAGTCAGTTTTTCCCATTATTTTAAAAAAAATATGTTTTCCTTTTTATTTTACTCTGTATCTGAGTTCTTTCTTACTACCCTGTCTTTAAACCCCCTTTTTGGTGTCAGCAGAGGTCTTAAGTGATGGCTATTGACTCACTACCTTGTCACATATGTGTGTTCGTCACACATTTGAGTCAGGAGTCACACATTTAAGGGGAGGGAATGTAAAGAATCCAGAGGAGAGAATAGAGATTTTAATGAGATAATTCAACTGATAATATCAGCCATACCACATCTGACTTATCTCCATAAGGATTGAGAAAGTATATTATCAGTTTTATAATTTGTAAATTTGCATGCATATTGTTTGTCCGTATCTATATAAGGTATGTGAATAATTCTTGATCATACACATGACTATGAACAAATACTACAAACATACTTGGGTAGAACTAGTAAACCTTAGTAGATTTTGAAAGAACAAAGCAGGTGAAAGAGGCAGCAATGGTTATTTTATAAGCTGTTTACATAAGTCGAATTTGAACAAGAGTCAAGTCAAACTTGTTGAGAACATTTACTGCTGCCAGTCAAGATTAATGAAGTATAGAACACCTTTGTAAAGAAGAGCCAAGGGGAGTCCAACCTCACTTCTTTGGTGATAGGCCTTTGTTACTGGATTGTCAGAGTCAGGTTGGTTGGAGGCCATTGCCCCTTTCTCTGGGACATCTTGATGGTTAGTAGCACCTGCTCCCCAGTGACTAGCTTTGCTGCACAGTTTGAAGCCGCTTCAGTTTTGTTTTTTGCCTTCTAGCGGTTCTCAGTTTTTTAGTTTTTAAGAAACTATCCTCTAATTGGTATAGGAAGTCTTCAATTCGTCCAACCTAGAAGAAATAAGCACAGAGAATGAGATTTGTTGTTTTTTCCCAGGTTTTGTGTAGTTAGGAAAATGGTGAGGTATTTAAAATTAAATGGCACATACAGATCCATGTTGGAACAGAATCGGCGGAGATGGACATGATTGAACGTAAAAGCCTCCTTCTGTTTCCATTTCAGATTCCCCTGTTTTAGGAACATGAAGCAGACATGCAGGAGTTTGCTGTGCCACTCAGTCCTATGTACTGGGTATAGAAATGGGGAATATCATCACCCATTATCTTTAATGGTCAGAAAAATCAGGGATTTCAAAAAGAAATAAATGGTGAAAAACTCTACCATTAGCAAAAGGAAGAATGGAAAAACAAATCCACACCCCTCAAAGCCAGAGATTCTAGCATTTGTATGCCTCTGGCCAACTTGGGAGAAAAATGAATATTACACATTGTCTTAGCAAGAACTATTTCTTTTAAATCAAAACAAAATTTTGAGAAAATACATTTTCTTAAAAAATGCCACACCCCAGGGAATAAGATAAAGTAATGATATACAAAACAATAATTCTAAACTATAAGTCTTTCTCCAAAGAAAACTTGTAATTATTCAGTGACGGTTGAATATGTTACACTATTTGTCACTATTTCATTCTGCTAAAGACCTATAGAATAAAACAGTTTACATATATGCTGCATTGGGCTCTCATGAAAGTCTGTAGATGTAATAATTCATACTTAACCTTGACTCCCAGCACCTGCATAGCATATTAGCCTAAAATGACTCACTGAAGAGCCCATTGTCATAAAGTTAGCTCAAAGCTAGAACACTTACTACTCAAGATACATGGGCATATCATCTCCTTAAGATAAAAGCACTTAAACTCTAGTTTTCCAGTTTTGAGTTTTACTTTTAAGTCACTTGATTTATCATTTAGGGTGATATCCAAAAGATAATTCAAATTGTCAAAAAGAATAATAAATGGTAGCATTCATTTATATGTTATGCTTAGGACTTATATTACACTAGGTGATGTAAATTGTCCATTGGTTTCCTTAGAAAAATAATATAATTTACTTTTATGAAAACAATTCTTTTTGAAAACTTAAAATTACTTCAGGCAAATTTCTCCAAAAGCACGTTGTTGTTTATGATGTCTGATCGTTGCATCAATCGTCAAAATCATTTGACAGAATATTTTTGGACTGTCATGAAGTCAGTGAATTATTCTATGTATTTCATACACTTATATTATCCAACTTACACCAATATCATAAATACAAAATTAACACAGAGAACAATCAAAACAAATGTAATGGATGGCACTTTACCATTACTGCAATAGTTGAGTTGATGACTCACTCATGTTTTTGCACTGAAAATGTGTCATTTAAATCAAAGCTCTCTACAATTAGAATGTTTGCAGTTAACCCAAATGCAATTTAAAATTACAATCCTAACGCACAAACTTTCTTCAATGATACAGAAACATAATTGTTTTAAAATATCCATTAGGTGGCTATTGTCTTTTTTGCTTTTTAAAGTGTATTTATTAAAAGCAGGGTTGACTAACTGGGTTGCCTTTCATTAGAAAGGACAAAGAAGAAACATAAAATGTCTGATTGAAACAGTGCTGTTAAATTAAACTGGAGGTCTAGAGTATATACCATGTGCATGTCTAACATGCCTATGTGTTTACCTCCTACCTGGTCTGTCTACATGTTATGCTTTCAACTCATTCTCCTAATGATACCAAAATGATCTTTTAAAAATGTAAATCTGGTTATGTTTTTCCCTTGCTGGAAAAACTTAAATGGATTCCCAAGCCCTTAATGTGGCCTACACACTTCTGAGTGATCTGGTTTCACTTGCATCTCTAATTATGTCTTCTATCACTCCATTTGCCTCAGTTGTGTAGTACATCTTTCAGTTATTTGAACACAGCAGTGCAGTGTACTCTGTTCCCTTAAACTTCCTAATGTTATACCATGTGATGGATTACTCCCATTGGAAAATCCTTACGTTTCCTCTGGATTTCAGGTTCAACATCAGTGCGTCAGGAACATTTTCCTGGATAATCCAGACCAGGTTGGGTTTCTCAGTAACATATTCCCATTGCAGCCCATTAATCTCTTTGCAAATTATATGTGTGTACACACACACACACACACACACACACACACACACACACGCATATATATCTTACTTGATTATAGTGATTTATTTAGTATCTGTCTTCCTATCTGGGTTTTAAGGATTATAAGGCAGACTAAGCCCACATTGTCCACTATTCCTATCATTTAGAATATGGTGGACCCTCAATAATCTTCTTTTCTGATAATAGAGAAGACATTCAGAAACTGATCTGTTTTTCCATATTCAAAGTGTTGCCTGGTATGGAGCACATCAGAAGGCTTTATTATCTCTTACAGATTACCTTGAGAGTCTCCAGGCAAGATGATTACAAGGTGTGGTCTCCATACTTGAAACAGAATGAGGTAGAAAGGGCACTGGATAAAGAGAGTTAGTGTTGAATTCTGCTCATGGCTTGTAATCCTTGTGGCTTTATAACCCTAATCTATGACTCTCGAAAAGTCACTTGGCCTTTCTGAGCTTCAGTTTAACTAACCTTTGGTGAAGAAAAGGTTGGCCTGGATAATTTCCAAGGACGCTCCAAGCCAAAAAATTCCATGACTTGTCTCACATCAGATCTAGGTTAGTTCAGTCTTATGTGAGTCCTCACATTTTTCAAATCACAGGTTATTCTCTTAGATTATACCATTAGATGAATGACACACTATGCAGTAAAGTAAGTCAATTTTAGCTTCTATACTTTCTGAAGTGTAGGAGAGCTGCAACATGTTTTTAGTGAAGCTGGTTCTTTATTTTCTTTTTTACGTCAAGGAAAGAAAAATGCTGGTTGAAGAGAAAATAGATTCATCTAACTAAGAAGAACAGATTGCAAATGATAGAAATTTCTATAAAGCCCTTAGGGAAATAAAACACAAAGAAATATGTAAGCATGTAAGGAAGGAAATGAGCCAGTTTTTGGAGCAACGGCCTTATTAGACTTCCTTTTAGGTACAGAATCTCCTTGCTTAACTATATCAGATAGTCTACTTGGTCATTCTGGGTCTAATTTTCCCATTTGCAAAATGGGCGGATAACATTTTCTTATATATCTATATGTCAATGCTGACTTGGCTTTACAGGGATATGGACATCAGACCAAATGAGCATGCAAAGAATTTTGGGATGTCCGATGATCACAGGGACTCAAGGTGTCAGTGAGAGGGCAGATTCTCACCTAGCACATGGCTATCAGTGATAATTCACATCAAAGGAAATTATTATCAACTAGTTTCTGAGGACCTTTAAATCTTATACGCAAAAATCTGTCAGCCATGATTTAGCATAGATCCAAGAAGTTCAGAATGAAGATGCCAGTGCAACTGTAAGCGAGAAGACAGCTTGAGAAGTATAGGAGATCTTAAAATTCTAACAGTATAAAAGCAAATAATACCAATGAGAGAGAAATGTGGAGGTAGCCAAACAGACCAATTTAAATTACAAGAAAATTTTTAGTCAGCTCAGATTTCAAAGGGAGCACATTTGTTCTTTCATGCAAATATTTATTGAACATTTACTATACACTTGGCACTATAACAGGGTGATAAGCAAAAATATCAAGATATTTGCTTATGAGGAACTCATATTCATGGAGGAGAGAATTAATGAAGAAATGATTGCAATAGAGCATAACTGTTTATGTAAGAATTATGTACAAAAAGTTCTATTAGCAAAAATGTCAGAACAGTGAATTCTTTTTTTTTTTTTTTTTTTTTTTTTTTTTTTTTTTTTTTTTTTTTTTTTAGAGCAATGAATTCTATTTGAAGGGATATGGATGTGCATTGGTGGATATAGGAGCTGGCTCTTTGCCAGGACAAGAAGTACGTTTCAAGCTGAGGAAAGGGCATCCATAAGAACAAGGTTGTGAAAGTACATGGGCTATTTGACAATGATAAGTTTCTTACAGCATAGATGTGGGCACCCGGGAACTGGGAGTAGAGATACAGATAGCAGGAAATACTGATTGGAGTCAGCTTGTAAAAAGTTGAAAAATATTTAGCCATGTGGTTAGAAAGTAAATCTGGTAACACTACAGGGAGTGAATGCAGCCAGGGAAACTAAAGGAAGGTGAATTAATTAAGGGACCAGTGTAATAGGATATGGAGAATACTATGAGGGCCTGAAGAAAGAACTTAAGGAACATTTAGGAAGTAAACTCTATAGACTTGATGAAAAATTCTGTGTTGGGACAAGAGGCAGGCAAAATTAGGAATGACTGCACAGTTTCTAACTTGAGATAATGATATTTTAATGAGATATGAAATATAATTAGATGAACAGTTTTAGGGAAAAGAAATGAGTTTGACTAGTGACAAATATAAGAAATAGAAAAACAGTTCACATAATCAGAAATTAACAAAAAAATAGATCTATAATAATAATCTAGTACTAGGCTAAAAGCCAGAATGAAACACAACTCCAAATTAAAAGAAAAACCAACAACCTCTATTCCTCAGTCCACCATGTGAAAAGCATTCTAGTAGTTATAAAGTGCTAAGAAAACAAGAATGATACTTTCAGTTATTCAGAGTAAAAAGGTGATTATTGCAGAGATACGGTATTAGATTGAAGTCAGATATATCTTGTTTGGAATTCCAGCTCCAGCATTTTCATGTGTGAATTTGTGCAATTTTATCTAACTTCTTAAAACCTAAGTTTCCTTTTCTATCAGTTGTTTCACAGGATCTTAGTAGGGTTAAATTAAACAATTTATGTGAATTATTTGCATAGGTCTGAATTACTATTATTTAACAGTAGTATTAATACTTGAATCTGGAAGTGTATGCTTGGTAAATAGAAAAAATGTAACTAAATGAAAAAAATACAAAAGTGAAATAAAATAAAAATATAAACAACTTTAATAGACACTATGTTTTTGGCCTCT